TTTTTTCTATTTTTTCACTTTTTTCAAAAAATCGCTTGTATCCACGATAACTCAAAAAATAATTGAGATAAAAACTTCAAACTTTGTATGATTATAGCGCCGTTGGTAACGAAGGCTGGTATTGTCGGTGGGCGAAATCGGCCCAGTAGTTCATGAGATATTTAACTTTATAATCGAAAATTCTTCCTTTAATATCTCAAAAACTACTGAACCAAATGCATTCTGCTTTCTCTCAAAATTTTCGTCCGAGTGGTGGCTATCGATGCAAATCAAAATATAGGTACCATTCAATTGAAAGTTTTCGAGATATTTCAATTTTTCTCTTTTTTTGAGATCAGATTCCTATTTTCGACTATGAAGTGGTTTAGACTTCTATTAACGCTGTCAAATTCATCATTCATATCAGGTTGGTGTCTGGTTATTGAATTATATGGTCCTGGTAACTACGGATCCATTCGGAAGCATACTACCAATGGAATTGGTAGAAATTAAAAACGACAGAAAGTAGTATCACAAAAAGTGACAGTAAAAACGCTTCGGTAGAATAGGCTTCTACCTCTGCTTGTTTTTTTAAATTAATTTATTTCATTATTGATCTGCCTCGTGTTCGTGGCATTCTTGTGCGCATGCGTGAGGTGCGCGCACATCTCTTCCGCGGTGGCAGTGAATAGTGCCGTGATTAGTGCCCGCGCCTAACATTTCCATTGGAGCGGGTCCAGCGGAAATTTTCAGGAACGTGTCTAGATGCGAGGTTTTGGGGTACCGGGGCCCCCTTGCCCAATTTTTTTTTATATATTATTATTGTTATTATTATTATTATTATCTTTCTTTTTCATAGTCTCCTCACCTTTCTTTGCGTTTTTTTTCAGGAATGGCGCCTTGAGGATTTGTGGACTTTTTATTATCATCATTATATATATATATTTTTTTTGTACCCCGCCCCCCCTTTTTTTTGTTGAATATATAGTCGGTTAAATGGACTTAGTTAGTTTTGTTGTTTGTTTTTTATTTTTCCCTTTCCCTCCGTGTCTCAGACCTCGGCTGTCGGAATCTGGTGGGGAGGATCGTGGTAGGGTAGGTTTTTTTTTTATGTGTTGGCCCTTGATGGAGCTTGGAGCTCTTCTGAGGTGTCCGGGGTTGTTGGTTTCCGAGGTTCCCAACAGGGATGTTCGTGTGACCTGGTCGGCTGTTTGAAAAGCGCCTGCGGTGGCGGTCATTAGTGTGGCTGACAGCTAGGGGTAGTTGTCGGCTATCTACCTGGTTTCTCGATAGTCTTTGGTGGTTCACTGCTTCAGGGATATCGGTGTGATTTTCCTGAGACGTGTTCTGCATGATCGTGTGCTGCGGGTATTTGGTGACCTTTCGGTATGAGTGTTTGTTATGTCTCGGACGTTGAGTGGTTTCGAAACTTTTCCGTTCTTTCACGTTTTTTTTTTTTCAGCGGCAGTCATGGTCCTTTTCCTCGGGCGGTCCCCTTTTTGCCCGGATCGGGCTCGGGAAGTTGTGAGTCCCGAGGGTTGGTGGGTCCTTTGTTCAAAGAGGGGTGGAAGAGTGTGAGTAAGGCAGATTGATCGGAAGGGGGAATTGTCGTTTCTGGATATTGATTCTGGACTTCCGATTGCCGAAAGCCGAGATGTGCTCCACGGAGCGAGAATTTGACTACTTTTTTTTTGTATCTCGGTTATTTCATGAGAGTTGCGGGAATGAATGTGCTGTGATGAATGTTATGTGATAACAGAGTAAGGCTAATTTTGGTATGTGGTCGTTGTCTTACACCTGATATTATTATTTTATCGTTTCTTGGGGTAGGTTTTCCATGATTTGTTTAGCTTTTCCTATCGTTTAGAGGTCAAATTTCACTTGCTGAGACTTTGGATTAAGGGTAATTATTCATACATTGTTTTTTTTATTACTATCCCATTTTGGTGTACTTTCTTTTCCTAATCTAAGGCCCTAATGTGTAACCCAAGTGTGTGTTAGTGGTCTCTTAAATTCTAAAGTGTCTCCTGTCTACGAGCTCTGGCGTAAGAATATCCTTTTGTTTACTACTTTTATTCCTTAGTTGTTCAACCCCTACGGAGTAATTATTCCTATTAACATTTTTTAAAAGGATTTTCCTATCTCAGTCTATAATTCTTTATTACGATTCGCAGGTAACTTATCGATACGATGGAAGCTGGAAACCTTCTTCTGGAGTTGCTGGCCTCGTCTTCATTGGTAATTGTGTAACCGGTGGTCTGGCTGGTGTGGCGGGCGGTGTTCTCGTAAATTGGACAACATCTTCTCGAGGATTGAAGATGATTGTCGGGGAGCTGATTTCTCTTTTCTGTTGCTCGGTGGGTGTCCGGCGTTTGATGGAGCATATTTTGGTGATGCCCGCGCACTGGCGTCGACAGCAGTATACTGTCAGGATAGCGCCGATCAGCAGGGAGGAGGTGCCAATGAACCCGGTAATTCCCAAATAGATTGCGCTTCCCTGATATTCGTCCATTTTAGGGTTTGTAATCAGGTCGAGGGTATGTTGGAATGCTTGTAGATCTGTAGCCTTGGTGTTATTTGGCAAGGGATCTAATTTTGTTTTTAGCAGGTTCAGCAGCTCCACTTCCTTGACCAGTTTCGGAGACAGCAGTGACAGGTTCAGATTCAACGGCGACACATGAAGATAAGGGAGTCGAGATTCGCCGCTGCCGGTGTTTCTCAACACGATCGAGGATGTTTTTGCCTCGCAGTCAGGATTGAAGCGCGATATTCCCGTTTTTTCAATGGAGGGCGTGTAGCTCTGCGTCCCTTTACATACCACATTTAGTGTATTTGTTTCTGCCGTGGAGTATAGCCACGTCTGAGACTCCTGTAGTCTCGTCCATTGATTTTTTCGTGCCCATTGATTTTTGCGTGCCCCTTGAGAGCATGTATGGGACACAGATGCGAGGTTTTCATGGGTATGCATTGCTGGTAGTACAACTGGTCTGCCTTGAAGTAAAGTTGACGGTCCAGTGTGACGACTAGGTACTCTGCTGATGGTTGTATGAAGGCTGATCCTGTTTGGTTTCTTGACATGCTCTGGGGCATGCGGCAGGGGCTCATTCGGTACATTTTCATGACCGTCTTATCCATCAGCGGGAGGGTGATTGCGGCGATGAACTTTTCTTGGGAGTGGAGGAGGTGTATGGTGGAGAATTTGGTCAGGAGGCCCAAGCCCGGGGTATCTGCGTCGATCAGGATCTCTAACGATGGTTCGTGTTCACGGATATCTTTCATGGCGTCTGATAATTGTTGACGTGTGAGCAAGTAGGGGCTGATTCGCTCGTGCTTAGCTTCTTCGATAGCTTCGCAGACTTTCTTGAGGGTATCGACGTAGTGTCTGGACATCCCCAGTCCTTCGATTCCGATCTGCATGACCACGTACATATACTCCATTCTGGTTAGTCTGTCTGTGGGGAGTGTGGTCTTTTGTGCGAGTTGTTCGGCATTCTCCTTAAGGAAGCGAATGTTGGTTTGCGTGTGTTGGAGATGCTGCATATTATCTTCGATTTCGGACTGTAGGATATGTGTGGCATTGCTCACGATTTTTCCCAATGCTGAGGTATCCTCGTAAACCTTTTTAACCTGTTTGACTAGCCAGTGGTGCTGCATGTAGTTTGGTACTCCCACTAAGAGGCCGAAAATTCTGCCGAGGAACCTGAAGACGGGTTCGCTGTCGCTGGGGTGGTCGTCGATGTCTCGGCGTCGTCTAGGGGTTTGGTCGTTGGACTGAGACTCCTGCAGACGGTCTTGGAGGTCTTGGCCTCTTTTTCGAGATTCGTTTGTGTCGCTATCCGGAGTGCTTGGGAGCAGACGATGCTTCCGTTGGTGTTGTTTCTACACTGCTCTCGCAGGGCGGTGAATTTTTGCTAGCCTGTTGTGTGAGATTCAACGACAGCTTGGACGTTGACGGCAACGGAAATGGTCCAAGATTTTGCGGCCATTTTGATGGTATCCATGGCTTCGTAATAGATTCCTGGATTATGTGTGAGGGGGTCAATCTCAAAAGGAGGCTGTTGTGAGTTCGATTGGGTGACCAGTAGCATGGTGATGATCAGAATTTTCCAGATTGGGTTGTACGTGTTGTTAGGGGCCGTTTTATTTAGCTTCCGCTGGTTGCCGCCCTTCGTTTCGTTGAGGATTTTTGAGCCGATTTTGGCTAGACGGTTGGCTTGCTCATTTCCATAGAATCCACGATGTCCTGGGATGTATTGGAAGATGACGTCTATCTCGTCCCTGCTCTGATCTAGCACCTTGAGTAGCTCTTGGTTTATCACTGGTTTGTTTTTTTGCATTTCGCCACCCGTTCTCCTTCCATTTTCCCATGTATTGGAGTGCGCAGTCGATGAGATATTGGGAATCGTTTATTATTCTCAATTTCTGGATGTCTTTTTCTTTGCAGATTTTGATGGCCTCGGTTGCGGCAAGGGTTTCAGCCACTATGTTGGCGGCTCTGGCTTTCTTCAGTGTCTTAGAGGTGTTCCAGGTATTACTGTCCCCGAACCAGATGCCTATTCCAGCAATGGCTTTGGCACAGCCATTGTAACTGCATGATCCGTCCACGTAGACGTTCACTCGTCCGCCTTCGGTGACTTCTAGGCCCGTGTGGGGGGAGGCATTAAGTTTTTGGTTCATTTGTTACCTAACAACAGAAGAGAAAATTTTTTTTGTCGAACTTCTATGAGTCCTCAGTGTTAGTAATTAAATTTTGTTTGTTTGTTTACGTATGAGCTGGAAAGATGTTCTGGTTAATTAGGGCACCTTTTCAGCTTATTTGGGTGTTTCATGAACCTTGCGCCCTCGAACGTCTCCAGTATTATGTCGCCTCTGATCGTCAGGTCTACGATTTCGAATGGTCCGATGTATTGGTCGTCGAATTTTCTAGTCCGCGGTTCTTTTAGGACATACGCGAATTCTCCGGCTGTAAAATCTACCAGTTTAGCGTCGCGGTCGTAGTATTCTTTTGATTTCTCTTTGGCTTTAATTAAATTTTTCATCGCCATCAGTTGTATGTTATCTAAATGGGTTACCAGGTCGATTAGGTAATCCTCATATATGTCGATTTCAGGGTTTTCGTGTATGGCGGATGGGGCGCGGGCTCTTTTACCATATAGAAGTTTCTACGGGGTGAAATTTGTCGTGCTATGAACCGTGGTGTTATATGAGAAAATCGCGAAAGGAAGAAGGTTATCCCAACTACTATTTTCGTTGCACACTGTTTTGAAATACTCAACTAGGACATGATGGCTTCGTTCTAGGGCTCCATTACTCTGCGGACTGTATCCTGAGGTCGTAATATGGTTGACTCTCAGGATCCTTGCCATTTGAGCAATGAGCTTGCCAGTGAAATTTGTTCCTCTGTCTGTAAGGATGGTCTTGGGGCAGCCATAGATGGTTACGTAAAAGTTTAGGAAGGCGAGGGCAACTTCTATGGCCGTGGCGTTTGGCATAGGGACAGCGGTGCAGTGCTTGGATAACTTTTATCCTGAATGGTGAGGATATACATGTTTCCAGACGGCGTTCTGGGAAGTGGTCCAACTATGTCCATGGAAATTTTCTCGAAGTCACTCGTTGGGGTATCAGTTATTTGCATCGGTTGTTTGGTTTTGATAGGCCTGAGTTTCACTAAGTGGCAAATTTTACATTTCCTGATATAATTTTCTATATCCGCCTTCATTCCTGGCCAGTAAAAGCGATCTCTTATTCGTAGATATGTTTTGACTACTCCTTTGTGACCCGCCATGAGTGAATCATGATTTTTTTTCATGATCTCCGGACGGAGGGCTGGTTCAGGCATGTTACCTCTGCATAAGGTAATTACAATGTTACTTCCGTTGAAATGTTTCTTCAGGTATAAGTGGAGATTTTCTATGCCTATGAGTTCGTTGTCGGTCTCGGCCATGCGGAGGGATGTGACTTGAGGAACCTCGAGGGCGTAGTACAAATTGTGGAGACAAAGTTTTAACTCCGAAGGTTTCACTCGGTCGTATTGAGTTCGTTTAACGATCACTAGGAAGATGTTATGTTTGCCTTTCTTCTGTACCAGAATTTGCCCTAGTTTCGGTTCTGATTTCAGTAGAGTTTCTCGGTCTATGTAGTTCAGATCTTCTAGAAATTTCCCAGTTCCACTGTTAGGGATGAGATCGACTGACGTAAAATGTGCTATATAGTCTTTTTCGAAGGTTAGTCCGTCTCTGCTGTATTTTAGATTTTCACTTTGCAGGAGAGCGTCATCTCCTAGGGGGATGGGGGTTTCATACTTTTCGTAGAGCTTTTTCTCGATCTGTGTCTCATCGTCGAGTGCATTTGGAGCTCTAGGTTTTCGTTCTTGGATCTCTGGGATTGATTCTGAGGGAGTAGGTGGTTGGTCTGGAAGGGGAGCGGTGATTAGGGGTCCGCCCCCGTCGAATGCTTCGTCGACTGTTGGCCCAGGGTATGGATTTGTAACTCTCCTCGGTGTTTCTGGTGCTTCTTCCGAGTTCTCTGGGTGATCCGAATTTTCTCGTACATGGTCAGAGGTAGGGGGAGCGGGATCCATGCCGTGTTGTTGGCGTAACGCGTCCATCTGCGTTCTCAGCTCATGTAGAGGCCCCGGGAGTCTTTTGAGAGCCGGGGGAGCCAGTGAATGAGGACATCGTATCTTCCGCAGGAACGAGTGTGTCGTCTAGTGTGGAATCATCTCCTGGTGGGCTTGACCTGGCCAAAGGCTTTTCTGTTTGTTGAGGCGTCATGGCGAAAGAGACTATTTTGTTGCTTTTCTGAGGTATAACTGAGTGTCGTTTTTTCAAAATTGAAATTTCTGGTAGGGAGGTGATGTCGTGTAGCGAACTTTGGTTTCTTGGATGTTCGTCTGTTTCGTTATCACTTTCATTTTCCTTTTCTTGGTCCTCAATTTTGTTTTCGTTGTCTTCCTCAGATTCTGGGTCTTTATCCTCTTCAGGCTTTTCTTCATTTAATGCCTCTTTGGTCGGGAGTTGATCTATCCATTCAAGGTCATGTTCCCACGTATAGAGCAAATTTTTTCTGAGGTCTTTTTTTTCTTCAAGAGTGTATTCGGGTGGAAATTCTTTCAGGAATTTGTCGAACTTAAGAATACTTTCATTGACACTACTTTTTGTTTCATCCGAGATATGTTTGACTGGTTCCTCTTGAAGCATTTCATCAATAACTTCCTTGTCGGTAAGGACGGTCTCTTCGGCATTCACTCGAGGCGATTGATGTGTCTCAAGCTGTGAAGAGGATGGGGTTGGATGCTCTTCCGGATCCTGTTCAGTTGGGTTTTCTTTGGGTAGCAGTTGTATTACTACCGCGGGATCGACGTCGGTAATTCTGGGAGGATTGATGGAGACATTCACCCTCGGTGAGGTGGTCAATTGCGCTGGAGCGGCGTCCCTTGAGGGTGGAAGTGAGAATACGTCATCGATCAATATATGTTCGGTTACGATTCCTTCTTCCATTCTTCCAGACTCTTCCGTTTCTGATTGTTCGCTTGATTCAGGTATTTCGGGGGTCATGGGTTGCGTATTCTGAGAGCTTCCCGGTTGGAATTTCTTAGGCATAGGTATAGTCGCTTCTCTTGGAACTTTATCCCCGGTAGATGATTTGGTCCTTGCGTATGGCTTGGTGACCTTGTACGAGACTGGTTTAGCTGCGGAACTAATTCTCGCACTGGTTCGGGTAGCCTCAGGTTTACTGGTTTTGGATTCGGGGGCGCTCTGAACTCTGGGCCTGGCTGAAGTGATGGGAAGGATTGTTACTGCTTCATTTTCCTTGTTGTCGTCGGAGTCGTCATCTGAATGTTTGGGGCTAGTCTCTGTACTGTCGAGACCTAAGGGATTGTTTGAGAATGCATCGGCATATTGTTCTCGTCTCAATCTCCTGCAGTGGACGGTGAATTCATACTCATGAAGTCGTGAACGCCACTTGAGTTGACGTGCGGTTGGAGTTATTGTATCCTTTAACCAAGCTACTACAGGGCTAGTAGCGTAAAGGACAAAAGGTCTCCCACAAACGTAAGGTCTGAAGTGTTTGATTGCGTAGACAACTACTAGACAATCGCGCTCTTCGGGGCTGTATCTTTTCTCAGCATCGAGGAGTGTTCTAGAGGCATAGGCTATAGGCACTTCCTCATCTGAATCGTTCTTTTAACTTAGGACTGCCCCTAGGCCAAACTCTGTCGCATGTACCGCTATAATGAAGGGGTTAGACATATCCGGGTAACATAGGAGTGATTCATTAGAAATGGAATTTTTGAGGATTTGGAAAGCTTCCTCTTTGGTTTCGTCCCATGCGAATTTCGTGGTCTTTTTAAGAAGTTCGGTTAAGGGTTGAGCTTTCTGTGCGTAGTCTTCGATAAACCTTTTATAGTAGTTGGCGAATTCTAGAAAACTGCGTATTCCCTTAACGTTTTTCGGGCGGATCATATCTTTCAGTGCCGAACTTTTACTTGGGTCGGGTCGGACACCATCACAGGTGATTAAGTGGCCTATATAACCTACTTCTTTGCATAAGAATTTGCATTTATCGGGTTGAAGGGTAACGCTTTGAGCGCGGAGTCGTTTAAATAGTCTTTTTATGCGTTGATAATGCTCTTGGAGTTCTCTGGCCAAAACTACGGTGTCGTCAAGGTATACGTATAATTCGGTGCCGGTCAGACCGCTTAGGATTTTGTTCATCATCCTCTGGAAGATCGCCGGTACGTTCTTAAGACCGAATGATATTTTCCGGTACTCCCAATGCCCTTCAGGACTGGTAAAAGCGGTTTTTGCTCTGTCTGCTGGGTCCATTTTTATCTGATGAAAACCGTTTGCTAAATCAACCACGCTAAAATACTTGGCATTACCGAGTTTGTCAAGAATTTCCGAAATGTCGGGCAGTGGGTATGAGTCTCCGATGGTCTTTTTATTTAGGTCACGGAAATCGATGACTAATCGCCAGCGTTTGTTTCCTTTGGAGTCAGCTTTCTTCGGGACTATCCACAGCGGTGTATTATAAGGCGATTCCGTGGGACCGATTATACCTTGCTCGAGCATTTTATTTATTTGCTTATTTATTTCATCCCAATGTTCCATAGGGTACCTATATTGTTGCCTATGGATAGGCTTATCATCTGTGATGTTAATTTTGCAGGTGAAATCTTTCGTGCAGCCTGGTGGGTCACCAGGGAGAGAGAAAATATCGTGAAATTTTGTGATGATTTCTTCTGCTTGTTGAGCTTCCGGTTTGCTCAACCCATGGGTGTGAATTAGTTCTTTCAAGTTGGCTATTCGTTCAGATGTACTTAACTTCATTTTAGAATCTTCGGTTTCGGAAGATGAGTCCGCCTCGTCGGAGCTAGATTCCTCTCTTAATTCAGTGTCCAGTCGGAACTCGTAAGGTATTAGTTCTTGAGGGGGTATCTCGACATTTGCTGGTTCTGTGGTGGTGTTAATAACCATAACAACGGCTATCTCGTTTTTCTGAACTTGTACGACCGCTTCACCGGCGAAGAGTCCATCGTCGAGTTCTATCTGGGGGAGGAATCCTGCCACTATTTCCGGATTCGAGATTCTAATGGGAAATGCCATACGAGTACGCGGGGGAACGGTCATTGGAGAGTCTGGTTTGATTTCCAAATACCAATTTATCGGATGAGT